AAAGTTTTAGGTTATAGTACAAGTTTGGTTTATGAATTTTCAGGATTTTGTTTAATAAGATCCTAAAAATATTAGGAGATTTCTGAACTTTCAATTTTGTGTCTGATAGACACACATTTAAAAGTTCTTTGAGACCTTCCGGACACTTTTAAAATATTTATGGTTCGATAAAATACTTTTTGAAATTTAGGGACCTGCTAGAACTTTGAAAAGTTTAGGGAGTAAACTTTTCTTTTCTTTTATTATTATTATTATTCTTTTTTTTTAAAAAAATATTAGGGGTAAATTGGTAATTATAAAAGTTTTAATTACATTCCTAAACTTTGAAACACTAATAGCATTAACGAAACATTGATGTGATATGTTGTGCCCCTTAGATGAATTTTAGTTAAGTTGGCATACGGGATGTACATATCGCAATTGACTAACGAAGATGTTACATCACTGATTTATTGAATTATTGATGGTGTTAAATTTGAATAGAAATCATAATTCAAAATTCATATGTGCAGGTAATGAAGAACAATATAGATTGATTTTAAAATTATGCATGGTGCATGTCCATGATGTGGCCAGAGCACACATTTATCTTTTTGAACATCCAAATGCAAATGGGAGATATATTTGCTCTTCCCACAAAATTACATTGGAAGAATTGGCTCAATTCCTTGATGCTAGATACCCAGAATTTCAGATACCATCTCTAGAGTAAGTTAAACTGCTTACATAGTTGTGTCTATTTAATTTTTTAAAATTTAAAGTTTTGATTATATTCCTAAATTATGAAGTATGATTCTATCTGGTTTTTAGTATTCATCGTTAACTTGCCTATCAAACAACCAGTGACTAATTTATCACAACGTGGCAAACATATAACAAAAGACAGTTGTATTAATAATAAAATCAAATATTTGCAACTGTTCTTTTCTGAATTAGATATCAAAAATATCAAATCTCTTTTGTAGTGTGGCAACTTAATTTGCGTGGTATATATATTTGTCTACCACATCGTATTATATTAACCAACATGTGTTCAATAGACACGTTGCATTATTTTTTAAATAATTATCTTCCACGTGTTGAATTAGCTAACATTTGTTCAATGGTATTTTCGCATCATCATTTAGTTATCGACAAGGACCACATGGATTTATAATTCAAAATTCAGAGACGTAATGAAAACTTTTAAATTTGTAGATTAACTATATTCAATCGTTGACGTTCARAAGCACAAACGAAACTATGGTCTTTATTCGTCATACTTGGCTGCAGGTCTTTGAAAGATGTCAAAGGCTACACATTCACTTATGTCTCGTTAAAGAAGCTTTTGGATACTGGTTTCAAATACAAGCATGGGATTGATGAGATGTTCGATGGAGCCATCGAAAGCTGTAAAGAGAAGGGTTATCTCTAGCTGCCTTATTTGCATGTAATATATATATAAATAAAGTTTGATATGGCTTGTTTTTCTGGGCCCTGGACCCTTCAATGAATGTCTGCATGATATAAATATATTATCAAACTTCTTGTTCCTAGCTAGGTGTTGAACTTGACTGTATTTGAATGGCTATAGGGTTTCTATTTTCTCTGCGGGGGCTCGGAACAGCGGAATGGGGGTGTGAGTGGAGAAAAAAAATCCCTCATCACCTAAGGGAATATGGTCTCCGTTCCAGTTTCATATATCTATATATCTATATCTATATATATATTCACAAGATAGTCCAATGTTGTCAAGTTTAATATTGTCCAGACTCGATCTACAGTTAAAAATAAATATTAGAATTTATTATATTATTTTACCTAAATAACTAAAAGAAAGGAAACCCTAATACATGAAAAAAATTTCATCTTCAATTATTTTGATGTCATTTAACCATGTAAATGAGAACTCATAAGTGAAAATTAAGTATTTAATTAGAAAGTTCTTTGAAAACAGGTCATTTAATTGAGATTTAAAAAAAAATAGGCAAAAAATAATTACTCTGAAGAACCTAATCTCCACGAATTCCTTGCCAGAAACTCCCACCCCGATCTCCATAGGTGGAAAATTTTGCAAAGATGGAGATTGAAATGGGAGCAGGGAAGCTCCCCCGTGCCCTACCTATAAGAATAGCATTTCTGGTCGAACCCGTAAGAAGAACCGAACCTGACAGACACATCTTTTTCCTTTTGGGAGGGTACTCCGAGTAGTGGGTACCTCGTAAGACCTCGACCCGCCTACTYGGGTCTTGTATGAATATGCAGGAAGGGGTGCTCCTAGGTGTGTGTAGGGGTTGTGTTTGTTCGCGAGAATGGATTCCTCGTCAAGTCAGTTTGGGGGGTGTGGACACACTTGCGCGAATTCGGGTAACGGCTACAAGGGAGAAAGAGAAAGGAAACTATATCCGACCAAGGATGGACGTAAACTCGTAAGCTACGAAGGGTAGGGATAATCGTCCAGATCTCTTATTATGAAACAAAAAAGCCGCCCCATCGCATGGAACGATTTACCTGCATCATTAAGACGTAGGTGGGAGAGTTTCTTATCCTGCTATGATAACTCTTCTCTCACTCTCTTTTCTAAACTCATCTCCCTCTCTTCCCTCTAAAACTGATCTCCTATATCTCTTGTTATGTACCTTCTTTTCTTCTTCTTTTTTTTCTGCTATTTGTTTTTTCTTTCTTGGTGCTTTGTTATTATTTTTTTCGTTTATTTTTTTTCTCCTTTTGTTATTTTTTCTTTAATTTTTGTTATTATCAAAAATTAAAATTTCTTTCCTACTCATAAATTAGGATGATTGAACCACAAATTAATTCTACCCGTCAAAAACTCAAAAGAAAGTTTTAGAACTAGGAATTTGAACAACTTCAACTTTTCTTTGAAAAAAATATTGTTTACAATAATAAAATAAATTTACTACCAATTATTTATTTAAAATGATTTAATGTAAGTGAATGGTTAAAAGTTGATTTTGATTAATTTTAATACAAATTTGATACCATTCCCCTCGTTAGCAAATACATTAATAATTTATTTCCATGAAATTCTATTAACATTTTCATACACAACTAGTTATCTTTGATTCTCAGACATCTTATTCCCAACCATCTTAATCTCAATCTCATGGATCTTAATCCCAGATCCTATATTTTTAAAACCTCCAACCAAACAATGAGTGTTTTTTATATTCAACTCTATGAGTGCTAAAAACTAAAATGCTTCATAATTTTTTATTTTTTATTTTTGTCAAAATGGGACCACCTTTTGATCAGAGATTGGTGTCTTAACCACTTGAGCTATATTCGGTTTGGCATAAATACTATTTTTATTTTAATCAAAGTAATGGCATAAATAAAAGATAAATCATTGAGTGGCATGTTTGGAAATGTTAAATTATAGAAGGAAAATAGGTCCCATTCTCAAGTATTATATTTCGTTTTTTTAAGCTCAACAAAGAGGGCGTAAGATTTGAACCTTTGTCATATAGGGAGGTAAGTTAATTATCGCTAAATCAAAATAAGAGGAACCATTTCTTCTAATCATCTTTTAGATTTCGTAAATATTTGATTGCAATGTTGTCAAATTCTCCTATACCATTTCTTCTAATTATCTTTCAAATTTCATATATCACTGCTTCACCAAAAATTTTCACCTTGTATTAGTTTCGGCCACGATCGATTGTCAATGTATTTGGTCGGTCAACATGATAGACGATTTTTAATTTCGGTTTGAATTTCATATATCAATCATTGGCCAAAAATTTTCACCTTGCATTAGTTTCGGCCACGGCCGATTGTTAGTATAGTTGATCGGTCAACATCATAGACAGTTTTTAATGTCGATTTTCCTTCGCCAAAAAATTTCACCTTACATTAGTTTCAGCCACGGGCAATAGTCGGTGTAATTGGTCGGTCAATATCATAGACGATTTTTAATATCGGTTTGAGCCCAAAATCGACGTTGCTCTCCATACCTCACGAGGAATTCCAAATAGAAATGAAGTTTTTACCCACTTTTTCCACGTTCAAATACTTTACATTCTCCATTGCTTCTATAAAACGTTTTTTTTTTCCAACACTCCTTCATTTATGTGGAAACAGCCAAAGAAAAGGGAAAAAAGTCTTGAAAGTTTGACTGAAAAACTACTCTACAAGGAAATTTTCAACAACTTTATTCAGGTTTTAAAATTTTCATCATTGTCCCTACCATTTTATTAAAATTTACTAAATATCCGTACCATTAACGAGAATTAAGAAAAATTGAATCCAAATAAATTATTTGTAGGTGCAAGTATTTTCTAAGGTTAAATTTTCGAAAAAGTAGGATAGAGGAATGGAGGAAGAGTGGAAGATAGAGAGATTTTTTCCTTAAATAAAATAAATATCTGTCATATTTTTAGCGAGAGATCAATGCATATTGTTCGATGTCCAATCAATCTGCTTCACATTAGTATCATAGTTATCGCTTTTCTGACCTAACAACCCCTGTCCTTCTCCTTAGGTAACCTCGTCTTGGCGAAGTTAGATTTATGTATTTCTTCAACAATAACACAGACATCCAGTAAACTTTAATAAACTAAAATAGATAATAATAATAAACATTTGTTTTAAGGCTTGATGTGAGCCTAGCTCAATCAGAATCACCAATCAAACCGAAAACTCAATCTTAAAATTTGGAGTAGAAGTTAGAAGAAGGTTTTCTAGATGTTGCCAAACAGACATGAGAATGAGTATCGTTTCTCGTTGGAGATCCTTTACTAAAACTCTGGAAAGTCTCTCTTCTCTATTTTGGCTCTCAGGAATGGAATAAATTCAACTAATGTACACTTAGATGAACTATGAATATCCATCATCGGATAAAATGTTAGATGTTTGAATTTCCACGGATAGAAGAAATCAAACCATCGAGCTTTGAAAATGTATCCGTGAAAACTGTTTGTTTTAGAACAAATGGTTAGAACAAATATGAGAGTGAATGAAGATCAAATGTAAAGCATTAACCTAGAAGAAATACCCAAAGGAAAAATGCTGAATTACCAGAAGGGATTCAGTAGTTTCAAGCACCAGAAGCACATTCGTTACCATTAGGAGATTCTAGGGTCTCCAAAAACACCACCCATAAACCCTAAACCATTTCTCCGATTATAGCAATTCTTTGTCGTTGTCCCAATCAACAGAGTAGATTTTATCCACTCACCGCCTCTCCCAGATCAAAATGGGCGTATTTTTCAATATAAACAATCCCGTGGGATTGCGCCCTTTACAATCGAATCGAAAGCAAGAGAGAGAGAGATGGAAGGCGGGCCGAAGGGGAAAGTTTGTGTAACTGGGGGCACTGGATTCGTTGGCTCATGGCTCGTCAAGAAGCTTCTCGACAATGGCTACTCTGTCACCACCACTGTAAGATCTGACCCAGGTAGTGCCCGTTTCTCCAATCCATTTTTGAACTGTGGTGAGATCTCTTATTAGATTGTAGAGAATGAAATCATTTGTGAAGAATGAGTGTTTTGAATCTTAGTAATTATGTCATGAATTGGGATTTGTTTTACCTAATCTGTAGTTGAATCATTTGAATGTTTTATGGGTCTTTTCTCTTGGTGCTTGTTGTCATGGATTCTTTACTTTATTCACACTTTCTTGCATGCTTGGTGTTTGGTGAAATTACTGTGAGAGTCAATCACTTGATTTTCCATTCAAGCACGGTTTCTTTGCTTACTATTTGAAACAAAAAGCAAATTACAAAACATTTATCTGCATTTTTAAGTTTTTGAAATTTATTTCGGATTTTAAAAGGTCTATCTGACCCCAGAGAATATTATTAGTGAATAAATATGATTTGGTAACAAATTGGTTATCAAATTTATTCTAAGGCACAAGCTTTTGCCAGACTTGGGCAACTTTATTTTCTTATCTAATTCTAAACTTTTTTACATTTTCATAAAAAACAGAGAAGATTCTAAGATGTGAGCTTACTTCCTAACTTGATTTTCCTACTCTAAACTTGTTTTCATTTTAATATTGAGCAGAGAAGAAAAGAGACTATAGCTTTCTGACGAATCTACCAGGAGCATCAGAAAAACTCCAAATATACCATGCTGATCTCGACGACCCGGACAGTTTTGCTCCTGCCATTGAAGGTTGCATTGGAGTCTTTCATGTTGCTACCCCAATTGATGTGGAGGAAAAGGAACCTACTGAAGCAGTGGTAAGAAGAACGATGGATGGAACATTGGGCATCTTGAAAGTTTGTCTGAATTCGAGAACAGTAAGGCGTGTTGTATACACTTCCAGTGCAGCCTGTATGCAGTTTAATCACAACAAAGTAGATTTTCTGGATGAAAGCTGTTGGAGTGACATGGATTACATTAATAACATTGCACCATATGGAAGATCGTACCCGATTTCCAAGACATTAACTGAACGAGCAGTTCTCGAGTTCTCGCAACAACACGGATTGGAAGTTGTCACTGTTCTTCCAACCTATGTTGTTGGTCCCTTCATTTGTCCAAAACTTCCTGGCTCCATTCGTGTGACAATGTGTCTGATGTCAGGTATTTATTTCTTTTCATGTTTGAAAGTATCTTGTCCTCTTTGAACGCATCTTGGACTTTGCAACATAGATCTGGAAATTTTTAATAAGTTGGCATCTTTGAATCTACTTGCTAGAGACATACTTGGCAATGGCATCTTTATTAAATTGTAAATTTTTAACGGTTGTGTTTATTTAGTTCTCAAACTTTAAAAATTTTCACTTACGTATCAAAACTTTGGATTATGCTTCTATTTAATTCTCGTAGTTAATACCACTTGGAGAGTGTTGATATGACACATTCCATTGAGTTGGTGTGATGTAATTGGTAGCTGAGTAGACTAATAGGCATGTCATGCTACAATTGAACCTTTTAAATTTTAGAGACTAAATCGACACAATTCTCAAAATTATGATTCAACCAAATTTTAATATTAAGAAATATTGCCAACTTTCTTTTAGTTTTACCACGAATACCTCTTTTATCTCCATTGTTTGACAATAGCCACAACGATATTTTAACCCAACTGAACGTGGACAACAACCCCATGGAATTATTGGCTAGTTTAAGATAGAAAGATAGGAGACGTTTGAATATTTTAATCCATTGCTGAATTTCAAACTTGATTTGGGTTAATGTAAACCCCTCTATGATTATTTAGGGATTATAGTTTGTGACTCCCATAGTTTCAAAGTGATTTTTAAGTTAAGAGTTCATGGAGTTTCAATTTTGTGTCTAATGGGTCCGTAAACTTTAAAAGTATCTAATAAGTCAATAAACTGTCAATTTTGTATCGTCATCGATTTATCTTACATTTTTTAAAATTCACAACCTTATTAGACACAAAATTGAAAAGTCAGAGGTCTATTAATTATGTGTCTAATAGGACGTGAATTTTTAAAAATATTGAATAGGTCATGGGTCTATTAGACACAAAATTGAAAGTTCAGTGACCAATTTGACACTTTTAAAGTTCAGGACTTACTAAAGATAAAATTAAAAGTTCAGGAGCCTATTAGACAACCTTGTAATTTTAGAGACTAAACTTATAATGACCATGATTTTAAACATTCACGTTGTTAGCAATATCGGTAAACCGTGGCCTTCTTTTATTCAGAGTCTTTATTGCTTAATGGAATTGGTATTATTTGTTGACTTTCTAAACTACTTTTAGTAAATTCATCCATCACGAAGGTTAAATTGTACTATCCCTTTAATTTAGAGGCAAGCAACTCTATGATCTTCTATGATTTTGATGATGAACATGAAATGGAACTTGTGCAGGTAATGAAGCAGAATATGGATTGATTTTAAAATCAAATATGGTGCATGTAGATGATGTGGTCAGAGCACACATTTTTCTTTTTGAACATCCAAATGCAAGTGGGAGATATGTTTGTTCTTCCCATATAATCACAYTGGAAGAATTGGCTAAATTTCTTTCCGTCAAATACCCAGAATTTCAGATACCATCTGTGGAGTGAGTGCAACCCTATTTCCACCCTATTTTAGTTTCCATAATCGTTATAAATCCTTCTCTTCCTGAGATTAAATTGCAAATTAAGAAAATGATTGTCATGGTTGAGTCTTTAAATTTTTAAAGTTTCAATTAGGTCCGTAAATTTTAAATTGTAATTAGTTATTGCACTAAAGGATGACATGACATATTAGATAAATAGATGATAGAAAAATGTTGATTACTAAACAAAATAAAGTGAGTTTTTTTAGACTACACCACTTTATTTGTTTAGCTATTCAATTTGTTCTTATCATCTACCTTCTAACTTCTATGCTATGTTAAATCAGTTAATATTTGTCTTATAAACATATTATGTCATCATTTAGTTAATGTGAGTGACAATTACGAAATAAATACATTTAGAGACCAAATAGACGGAGCAAAAGTGTAGGTTTTTAATTCCTTATACTTGGTTACAGGTCTTTGAAAGATGTCAAAGGCTACATATTCACTGATGTCTCATCAAAGAAACTTTTGGATACTGGTTTTGAATACAAGTATGGGATTGATGAAATGTTTGATGGAGCAATCCAGAGCTGCAAAGAGAAGGGTTATCTCTAGCTCATGCTTTACAGTAATATTATATGAAATAGAGGGAGCAGTAAACATGGGAGAGAAGCTTTGGATTGCAAAAGGAGACAAAAAGTTTGATATCGTTAGTTCCTCTGGCCTTTGGACTAAAAAAAATCTGCATGTTACAATCTTAAAGGAAGTAATGATAATTTCTGTTTATGTTATGATCTGAAATTAAGGGTTTGTATGATGAATGGTTGCTTCTGCAGTATACAACTGTTATGGTCTTATGGACTTGCATGTCTCGTGCTGTTCTTTTGGGTCTGTTTGGTGACGTTCTCATTTTTTGTTATCTATTGTTATCTATTTTAATTTTTAACGCTTGAGAAATATAAGCATTTTATAATTATCCCTATTACTTGTTTTTCATTTTTAAGAAATGTTTGTAAAATTGTGTAGAAATTTTGGAAATAACACAATTAAGTTTGTATCTTTTTTTTTCCCCAAAACATAGTTAAAAGCATTATGTTATCATTTTTTACTTATAAAATATATTTAAAAAAGATAAGAGAAAAATACGTTTTTGGTTCGGTTTGGAGTTCGTATCTATTTGGTTTGTGAGATTTTAAAAGGGACACTTTTATTCCATAGGTTGGAAAATATTCTTAAATGATCATGGAAGTTAAGTGACTATTAGTCGACTAATGTAAAGATGATGTGACTATTAGTCGACTAATGTAAAGATGACCATTATTGTTTATTAAGTGGACTATGACATGTGGCAAAATATATTAATTTTATAATACATTTTTATGGGGTGGCAAATGAGGTGGAATCTTTTTCCTCATTCTCGAACATGAGACGTTGCCACTGTCGCCAAAAAATTGCCCCCATCATAAAGGAACGAGGAGCCTCGTCTAACATCTGGACCGTCCAGATTTGAAATCGAATGAGAACGCTCCTCATTCAAGACCTCGTCATCATGCCCTTTATCAAGTCGTTTCTTTTGTTTGCGCCATGGAGTCATTGCGTCTAGATTTCACCTTGGAGCCAACCTACCTAATTTTCACTCTCACGATCTATGGCGAGGGAGAGTAGGCGACGACAACCAGTCAATAAATAGTTGTCATGTTATCTTTTCGTTAGTTAACTAATAGTCAATTAACTTCTACGGTTAACTAATATTCAATTAACTTCTATTGAATATTTGATTTGAAAAATTAATTTTCATATTAAATTTTTACTTTTTTAATTTAAAAATTGAGAGAACAAAAAATAATTACCAAACCTATTTATATTTCTTTCAATAAAAGAGAAACAACGAAAAATAGTTGAAAAAATGCAATTCAATTCTTTTTTTACCGGTTTAAAAAAAAAAAGAAACGAGAAAAACAAGAAAATTACAAAAGAGTCATTTTGGGGTGGGGCATGTATTGGGTTAGTCTAAGGCACTTTTCAAATCAAACTTCTTTGGTTTGTTTGGATCTAACCCAATTGTATGGATTCCAAATTTAAGTCTAAATATTATTTTGGTCGCGTGGTTTTAATTTTACTTTAATTTTAGTTTTTGTAATTTTAAAACGTCTATTTTGGTTCTTATATTTTAGTTTTTATTCGTATTAATCTCTATATTTTGTTTGTTATGGCCCTGTATTTGAAAGTGATAATTTCTTTGGTCCTCTTATTTTCGTTTTTTTTATTTATTTAAATAGAGAATTTATGATGATATTTCACTCACTATTTTTTTTTAAATGTAGCAATAAATTTGTATTTATGGCTTTTATAAATTTTGTGTTAAAATTGATTAAAATTGTCACTTTTTTAAAGTACAAGTATCAAAATTAAAGGCACAGACATCAAAATGAACAAAAGTTGAAAGTACAAAAATCAAATTGGACATTTTGAAAGTACAACGACCAAACATGTTGGAGGGTAAAATCTGACATGTCACATGGACCTTTGAAGATAGATCAGAAAATCTACCCCAAGGTGTGTAGACAAGGGATGCATACACACTTAACTTGTGGTCTGACCTATAGAGCTCGAGAGGAACAGACAATAGACCAAGGCACCTTTATGATCTCAAGTTTGTTGACCCGTGGTCCGACAACTATAACCGCCTATCGGAACAGCCATAGCTACCATCGCCTGCCCATAAAGTGGAACTCACACCTTTGTATCAAGTACGCAATTATGTCTAATGCTGACCTATTCAACTTGAACTCGAATTGACTTGAATTTTAGAATGTTTGTTCTTTTTTTTGCAAGTCTTACTTGCATAATTCACTCCTTATCTTGTCTAGGCGAAGACATTGCCGACCTTCGGTACTTGGCAATTCATCAACAAAAATGAATAAAGTCAAGAATACAATGATTAATATTTAAATCAAATATTTAAGTTGAGGTTGATTTTGATAAATAAATTGTGAAAATGTTAGTTGCTCAAACATTGATTTACGATTAAGCATCTTAGTTTAGTGGTAATTAGTCATAAAGCATGCCATTTCATCATTTGCAAATGTTGCTCTAGAACTTTTTAACTTGAGGGAGTCTAATTTATATCATATTTACTTGTGCAAGAAATTGTTTTGAATGGGTAAACAAATCATTTGTCATTCTAGATCTGATATTAATCCTCTTAACTTGAACTTATTTCAATTAATTAATATATCTATTTTCGATTAAAAGGACGTGAGCTTGAATCCCCTATCTCCACATATTTTTGTATTTTAAAAAAAATTATTTTTCCTTTAGTTAAAAATAGTGTTACCATAATTGGTAACAAACTTTTACCTTTACCGATTGCCATTTTGAACGAGAAAAGAAAAAAAAAAGTTTTATTATTTCCTATTTTTCTTCACTCCATTACGTTGGATTTTTTTTTTAATGTGACATTCATTATGTTTGGTTAGTAATAATACTTTAAGAAAAACGAACTTCTAATTGCATCAATGATATTCTTTTTAAACTCATATTAAAAATGCATTATATATGATATTGAATAGATTATAAATTACCAAAAAAAAAATTAATCATTGGTACTCAAAAGAATAATAATATCAATCACTCTAGAAAATAAATTAAGTTTATAAAAATGGTGAGAACAAAATAAAATTTAAACATTTTCATATTTGTTATGGAGAACGAAAATGACCCGAAACGAGACAAGGAGTTGAAGTCTGATTGGGGAAGACTGGCCCGGGACATAACGGGCCGGCCAAAAGAGTGACCTAACGCCGGGGCAGAGAACGAGGAAAGCGACCAGAGGGAAGCCCACTG